CCCCATACAATTTCCTGAGGCAATGGACTCCTAGTAATGCAATTATCTTAGGTATTTTGAAAAGCAACCTTATTTCAAAATAAGGAAACCAGGGTTTTAGAAATCACACTCTGTGTCCTTAGCGGGTAGAGTTACAAGAGCCAGGACATGACGCCCTCTCGGGTGGAGAGATTTCAACACCGCCGGCTTCCCGGGAGATTGCCTCAGCCTTGTCCTTTTGTTTTGATTTTTAACTTATAGTTAACTATTAGAAGACAAAAAAAAAAAAATGCTGAATTTAATCCCTTAGCGGGCAATGTTTACCATTAGACTTCAAATACATATGGCTGATTGAAACGAGGGAAGAAAATCTTAAGACCTTTCCAGACATTCTTTGGAATTGTTTCCCGCTCTCTCTAGAGCCCGGGCCTACGTGAGCACAGTGTGGCCGGCTCACAGCAAATCTCTGTCTTTCCTTCTCAAGGTAAGAAAAGCCTGCAGGGCTTGAGCAGGGAGCACTAGCAAAAGGAGAAAAGAAAAGCCTGAAGGACACTGGCCTCCACAAACCAAGGAGCACATATAAAATGTGCAGACTCAGCTGACTGAAGTCTGATTTCGCAGCTGCCACAGAAGTAAAGGAGCAAAGCAAAAGCTGGTCAAACCACTTCTCTCTGGATGAGGGACTGAAATGAAGCCTCGAGAAGGGACAGGAGGTTTGAGGCGATTAATGGCAGGCGCCCAATAAACACAAGCCTCCAGTTTAGGGGGAGAGAAAACCCTGCCAGCGCACGCACACCGCGTGATCTCTGTCCAGGGCACTCGCACTTCTGCAGCAATATTTAGAAGTTGTTTTCAAATCTCAAAGTCTCCGATGATTCTCCTAGACTCACACCAAGCAAACATTTCTCCCTCCCTCTGCGTTCTGCAATGCCCTCGTGCACGCTGACCCCAGCAGACAGAAACGCCGCCTCTTGAGTTTTCAAGGAATCGATGACCAGTGCGTGCTTGCTTTGAAAAGCGGGAACCCGGGACGCCTGGGTGGTTTGGTCGGTTAAGCGTCCGACTTCGGCTCAGGTCATGATCTCACGGTCCGTGAGTTCAAGCCCCGAGTCGGGCTCTGTGTAGCTCAGAGCCTGGGCCTGTTTCAGTCTCAACCTCTCTCTCCTGACCCTCCCGTTCATGCTCTGTCTATCTCAAAAATAATAATTAAAAAAAAAAAAAAAAAAAAAAGAAAAGCGGGAACCCAAGCCAAACACCCTCTTTATCGTGTTCAAAATGGGTGGTTGAAAATACCAACTCTGTGGCAAAAAATGGTTAAAGACCTTACAACTTCTCTATCATGCATTTCTTCATTTTGAGTATCTGATAGAAGTCAGCTTGCCTCCTTCCAAAAGGCCTTATCTAGAGCTGTGTGGGAATGTGGTGGTGTGGGAAGAACCTGCCTCCGCCCACGGGCACCCCAAATCTGCAGCCTCGTGGAACAGCTCCCTCTGAGGAAGCCCTGAAAGCCGCCTCACCTGCTCCTCCACGGCAAAGGATAAGGAGACCACACCGAGGTGGGTCAGAAGGGCCGAGACTCGGTCTCAACAAAAACCCCGCCCCGGCACAGAGATCCACGACAGGGAGGGATCTTATAATCACGGGCTTTCTCCTAGAGGAGCGAGGGGTTCGTGCCCCATGCCAGGAACACCAACCCGTGGGACCTGCCGCAGAGAGATGTGCCCCCGAAAGGTCTGGCTTAGAGAACGATGAGGCCTATGTGCAAAGGGGCATGTGGTCTCACTCCCACGGAGACCCGGGACCAAAGCAAGTGTGAAAAGCGTCAAGACTCTATGTGAAGGAGGTTCATTTGCTAGTATTAAAGCGCCTGTCAGAGGGGCAAGGGGCAGTTGGGACCCTCTCCAGAGACGAGCACCATTTTTGCACTGGCTCTCTACCCTGGTAGTGCAGACGTCGCACTGTCCCACTGCCTGGCTAAGGCCAGCGGGGTGAGAGGTCATGGCGTCCTCCCCCTGCCTTGCTGAAGCCAGTAGGCACGCTCCAACCTCCGCACTCCCCAGCTGCACCACAAAGCCAGCAGGTGCGCACAGCCCACACAGAGGACACCCATTGGTCACCTGGCCCTGGCAGCCAGAGAGCTCGTGTTCCTGGGCACCACGGGACTATAACAATCGTAAAGATGGTTCTTGGTGGGCTGCAAGCCCCAGGGCTGCACAGACAGTAGACTGAAGCACGTCCCCAGTCTCCCCGTGAAAAAGATCCATTTACTTGTCCCGGAGCTTTAGCCTAAGGGGCAGACTTCCCGTTTGCCATAAAACTGGAGGTTATGAGCTGTTTCAGGGAACATATGCAGGGAGACACAATCCTTACACTCTCCCCTGGCCTCACTACGGCTCTCTGGTACCTCCTAGGAAGGAGCTTATACACTTGTCTGGAGCCCTGAGTTTTGTAACCTCCACCCAAAGGGCACCTTCAGATCTCCTGGTCTAGAGGCCAGCACAGTTTACGATTGTGGTCCCACAGGACTGGATATGTTTGCATACTTTAAAAGCTGCTGCCTACAGATCTGGCTTCCAATCAGCCTGAAACTAGGTTCTAATAGATCTTTCCTTTTGGAATGCTGACAGGTCTTAGCACACCAACAGAGCCCTATCGAGCATTTGGGGGGTGGGGGGCTCAGTCGGTTAAGCATCCAACTTTGGATCAGGTCATGATCTCACAGCTCATGAGTTTGAGCTCTGCACTGGGCTCTGTGCTGACAGCTCAGAGCCTGGAGCCTGCTTTGGATTCTGTGTCTCCCTCTCTGTCTGTCCCTCCCTCACTCATCCTCTGTGTGTGTGTGTCTCTCTCTCCTTCAAAAATAAATAAACATTAAAAAATTGAAAAAAGAGGAATAAATCAGGCTGCTTTGGCAATCACAAGGGTTGGGGAAGACAAGAAAGAGCTAGGGCAAGGTTGAATGACAAGGTTCATCACCCATACAAGTCCACTCCTTCAAGATGGGGAGAGGTTGCTGTTTGTCCTAATGTATAGAAACATATAGAGAGAGTCAAGCCAAATGAAGACACAGAGAAGTACATTCCAAATGCAAGAAGAAGACGAAATCTCAGAAAAAGGCCTTAATTTAACAGAGATAAAGATAAATCTGTCTGATAAAGAAGTCAAAGTAACGGTCATAAAGATGCTGGGCAGACTCAGGAGAAGACCAGATGCATGTGGTGAGACCATCAACAAAGAGAGAAAAGATCAGCACATGCCAAACAGAAGTCACAGAGCTGAGGCATAACTAAGGGGGTTCACCAGCAGACCAGACGAAGCAGAAGAACAGATCAACAATCTGGAAGACACAGCAGTGGAGCTCACCCAAACAGCAGCAAAGGGAAAAAAAAAAAAATGAAGACAACCTAAGAGCCCCATGGGACAACATCAAGTGGAATAATTAACATTCACATTACAGGATCCAGAAGGAGAAGAGAGAGAAAGGAGCAGAAAATTATTTGAAGAAATAATGGCTGAAAAGTTCCCTAGCCTGGGAAGAAAAACAGCCAGCCAGGTCCAGGAATACCAGAGAGTTCCACGTAAGACGAATCCAATGAGATTGCACCAAGCCCAGTATAATTAAATGTCAAAAGTTAAAGATAAAAAGAGAATCTTAAGAGCAACAAGGAACAAGCGCTACATACAAGGAACCCCCATAAGATGATCAGCAGATTTTTTCATTAGAATTTGCAGGCCAGGAGAGAGTGGGAAAGGAAGTACTGAAAGGAAAAAAACTTCCAACCAAGAATACTCTACCCGGCAAGGTTATCATGCAGAATTGAAGCAGAGATTAAGAGGATGGTAGTAAGATTTACTGTGCCAATCACCTTGCAATGCATACAAATATCTAGACATTATGTTGCACACCTAAAATCAATATAACGTTATATGTCAATTATACCTCAAAAAGATATTTTTAAAAATAACATGAGGCATGTGAGTGGTTCAGTTGGTTGAGCATCCAACTTTTGATTTTGGCTCAGGTCATGATCCCAGGGTCATGGGATTGAGTCCACTTAAGGCTCCACACTGAGCATCAAGCCTGCTCAAGATTCTCTTTCTCTGTCTCTTTCTCTCTCTCTCTCTCTCTCTCTCTCTCTCTCTCTCTCTCTCGGCACCTGGGTGGTTTGGTCAGTTAAGTGTCCAACTCTTGATTTTGGCTCAGGTCATGATCTCACAGTTCATGGGGTCAAGCCCCATGTTGGACTCTGAACTGATAGTGCAGAGCCTGCTTGGGATTCCCTCTCTCCCTCTCTCTGCCCCTCCCCCTGCTCGTGCACTCGCTCCCTCTCTCTCAAAATAAATAAATAAACATTTAAAAAAAATTTCTCTGTCTCTGCCCCTCCCCTGCTCGTGTGTACACACACACACTCTCTTTTTTTTAAAGTTTATTTATCTTAAGAGAGAGGGAGAAAGTGCAAGCCGGGGAGGGGCAGAAAGAGAGGGAGAGAGAAAATCCCAAGCAGGTTCTGCATTGTCAGCACAGAGCCCGATGCGGGGCTTGAACCCATAAACCACAAGATCATAACCTGAGCTGAACTTAGACACTTAACCAACTGAGCCACCCAGGCACCCCTCCTCTTAAATAAATAAATAAATAAATAAATAAATAAATAAATAAATAAAGCTACAAAGAATCACTCTAATATTCCCTAGGTTAAAATTCACTCCACTTTCTCTGAAAGAGATAAATTAAGCTCTGAGAAAACTTCGGCACCTAGTTACAAAATCCAAATGGATCTTAACTCCTGGGTTAGCCCATCCTCAGCTATTACAAACAAACGTTTGCAAATTTATAAATATCTTTTTTATTTAATAAAATTTATTTTTAAATTACTACAATTTCCAAGTCTAGAAAGGTAGCTTTGTATTAAGCACTCTATGAACCTTTGAGGAGGGACAGCTCTCTCTGTCGGGGGTGTGTCTGGGACCATCTCCAGGGCTGAGTCCACGGGAGAAAGTGAACACCCGGGCAATCTCACCTGTCCTCAAAGCACACGGTGCACTTCCAGGCGCGGGTCCTCCGCAGGAAGACTCGGCACTCGGAGCACACGCGGTGGCTGCAGCCCTTGCACACGGCCCCCCGGTTCAGCAGAAGCCCGAGCTGGCACTGGCAGCGTGCACAGGACTTCTCTTTGTATTCCGGGCTCACGCTCCTTGCTCCTTTCCACCTGAGATGCTGCAGGTGCGTCTTCAGTTTCCTGCGACCCAAAGAGTCAAATGATGAGACAGGAGTGAATGGAAGGACAGGTGCGAGGCACACTCCTACGCGGCAAGAGCCCCAACGCTGCTGCTCACAGCATGAGAAGGCAGACGGCGCTTTGGCATCTGACACCCCCAGGCGACAACATGGCCCTGAAAGCGAGGGGTCTCCCTCAACCTTCCAAAAAGAGGCTCAGAGATTTTCTCAACTGTGAAACAGAGATGAGAAAAAGGTGATCTCCCAGGGATGCTGAGAAGACCAAATGGCAAAGCATAACAAATTCCTGGCACAGATGAGTTAGCTACTCACTTTGTTCTAGGCTCATCCCTCCATGCCCAAAGGGCGTCATAACGGTTAGCAAGAACAGTAGGAGAAGAAAACAAAACAAAACAAAGCAAAACAAAACACACATACACACAGAGCATGGCGTCAACTTTAATACAGAAGGCATAGAAAGAACTATAAAGATGGAACATACACACTTGCTATTGTCATAAGTTATCCAACACAATTATTCAACTGATGCTATGCTTTTGCTACTGTTCTTGTTTGTTTGTTTTTGTTTTTGTATGGGTGGTCAGTTCACCCCCAATACCTATTTCCCCTAGACCATAGCACAAGTGCAAAGGGACCTTACACTGGACCCCAGAGAGGTGTCATTAACCAGAATACTCTTTTATGAAATGTCTCTGCCACCTACTTTTAGAAGAGAGAAGCCAGTCCCAAAGACATAGCTTACATTCAACTTGCAGGATTTGCCCTACAATCAGGGCAAATGTCCCTTTGTCCCTCTGGAACAAAGCTTCCTTTCCACGGTGTCCATGTTACTTTGTTGATATTCAAAATGACGTTTCTAAATCACTGAAAGACCTCTAATCGTCAAAGCCAATTCCATTTTGTTCAGAGTATTCTATTTTTTAGTGGAAGAAAGTATAAGTACATTTAGAGCTTTGGGATAACCGAGGAGTACAGAAAAAACATTGTACCTTTCAGTTAACCAGCAAATTTCTCTCATTTCTCAAGCATTTGGGTGCCCAAAGTTTTATTTTATATGTGCATTCTTCTTGGCAAACTCTGAAAGAGTTCTGTCATTAAAAACAAAACAAAATACAGGGCACCTGGGTGGCTCAGGTGGTTGAACATCTGACTCTTGATTTCAGCTTAGGTCATGATCTCACAGTTCAGGAGACTGAGCCCCACATCAGGCTCTGAGCTAACAGCACAGAGCCTGCTTGGGATTCTCCCTGTCTGTCTGTCTGTCTCTCTCTCTCAAAATAAATAAACTTTAAAAAATGTTTAGTCCCCCCACCCATCCTCTCTCTTTCTCTCTCAAAAATAAATAAACATTAAAAAAATTTTTTTAAAAGAGGCGCCTGGGTGATTCAGTCAGTTAAGCGTCCGACTTTGGCTCTGGTTATGATTTCACGGTTCGTGGGTTCAAACCCCGTGTTGGGCTCTGTGGTGTCAGCCCAGAGCCTGGAGCCTGCTCTTGATTCTGTGTCTCCCTCTTTATCTGCCCCTCTCCCACTCACACTCTGTCTCTCTCTCTCTCTCTCCAAAATAAATAAACATTAAAAAAAATTTTTTTTAATGTTAAAAACAGGGCACCCTGGGTGGCTCAGTCAGTTAAGCGTCCAACTTCAGCTCAGGTCATGATCTCACGGTTCGTGGGTTCGAGCCCCACGTCGGGCTCTGTGCTGACAGCTCGGAGGAGCCTGGAGCCTGCTTCGGATTCTGTGTCTTCTCTCTCTCTCTCTCTCTCTCTCTCTGCCCCTCCCCCGCTCACGCTCTGTCTCTCAAGAATAAATAAACATTAGGGGCGCGCCTGGGTGGCTCAGTCAGTTGAACGTCTGACTTCAGCTCAGGTCATGATCTCGTGGTCTGTGAGTTCAAGCCCTGCATCAGGCTCTGTGCTGACAGCTCAGAGCCTGGAGCCTGTTTCGGATTCTGTGTCTCCTCTCTCTCTCTGCCCCTCCCCTGTTCATGCTCTGTCTCTCTCTGTCTCAAAAATAAATAAAACATTAAAAAAAAATAAAAATAAAATTAAAAAAAGAATAAATAAACATTAAAAAAGTTTAAAAACAAAACAAAATAAAAAAGCCTATTCCATGTACTTATTTTCTAGACTTCATATCCTTTATAAACATTGATAAACAAGGCATCTCCATTTCTAAAGGTGGATCTTGACCGCTATCGGTGGGCAGTTTTGATACGGTGCTTTAGTAAGCGTTAACTACTACCAAACAGCTGGTGCAGCTCCAAGACAGACAAGGAAAGAAACTGCCTATTGCAGATCAGTCAGGGAACTGGCTGAGCAGGTTCATATTTTACACTCCCCTCCCCTCAAAGCCAACTTGTTAGCAAAAGCACACAAAGAAAAAGACGGGGAAGGATTGCACCAGATCTGCCGCAGGATCGCACAACGGAGGCAGCCCTTCCCTGGAGGTCTTTCCCTTGAGAGGTATAGTAGAGGCCTGAACATCTTCCTTTGAATTATTCCCAGGAAGTAGCAAAGCGACAGGCAGCAAACAACACACTTATCACAGAAAGGCATATTTTTAAGTGAATGACAAAAGCAGCCTCCCTCCTCCCTTAGGGAAGCTCAGTCACACGGCCCGGGGCCGGCGGGGCCACCTGGCCTCCACCCCTCACTGGGACGCTTGCGGACGGGACGCCCCGTGGGCAGCAGGGAGCCAGCAGCCAGCCAAGTGGCATCAGGCTGTGCTGTGCGCAGGAAAAGCCCAGCTCCCAGGGAATCGCGGCGCGGGGACAGCATACCGGATCCTCTCCTCCTCGGTGTTTTGAACCGCCTGGTCTCGGTACAGGACCTGGAGGATGACCTCGCGTTCCAGTTCCTGGAGGGAATTCAGACTGACTTCCCCGGCCATTCCGTCTCTCGTGCGCGGACCCGTGTTGAGTGTTGCTCCACGACCGAGCCCCCTGGCTGGGGGTGGGTGAGCTCAGAGCCTCCAGGAGCGGCTCGGTGGCTTGAAAGCGCTCCCTCTCCTATGTCATTGGCAACTCTTTGGCTTGTGGCTCTTTTTTTTTTTTCCTTTTTAACTGCGTCACGCTCCTCAGGGAGAAGAAAGCCCCAAGAGGCTGTCCCTCAGCTGGACTGGTGGCTCCCAGAGCCTCGGGCCACCGGAAGACCCTTTCCACCGGCCCCGCTGCCGCCTCCGAGGTCCGTCGAAGACAAGAGTCTTATCTCTTTTCTGGGGTCTTGCCAGAGATTGTTATAAATCAGGCAGGGCTCTAAGCAGATAATTTCTGCAAAGCGGAAGTGAGCCCCGGTGGGAGGAAATTTACGAAAGGCGGTGAGAAGAATATCGAGGACGTTTAGAAAATAACCTTCGCCTCCAATGCTTTCAGGTCAGCAGTAATGGTAATTAAAAGCCCAGCCAGGTCAACACCTGTAGAAAAGACAGCAACAAAAGTGGCATCATTTTCCTGGCTTGCGTTCGCCCGCGGCATTATTTCGGAAACACCGAGTGTTCCCCACGGACCCTTGCGCTTTCTGCCACGGCGATAACGTAAGAATTTAACTTTTATTAAATTGGCCTTCTCATGTTTCTCAAGGCCAAAACTTCTAAACTTGAATTGTTCTTTTGTTTTTTTTTTAACTTTATTTATTTATTTTGAGAGAGAGTATGTGGGAGGGGCAGAGAGCCAGGGGTCAGAGGATCCAAAGCGGGCTCTGTGCTGACAGCAAAGAGCCCAACGTGGGGCTTGAACACACGAACTGCGAGATCATGACCTGAGCCTAAGTCAGACGCTCAACCGACTGAGCCACTCTGAACTTTAATTGTTCTAATAGGAATCCAGTATCTCCATGATTAGAGGCATAAAGGTCCATGATTAATGTACCTCATCCTAACTGACGATACACTAGAAGAACAATGTGCTCAACGCATAGCTATTATTTTTACAATTAACTTCAAAACTCAAAAAAAAAAAAACCACCTTTTAATCAATTGGGGAGGTGTGAAGGGACATCATCACAACCTCAATATAGCAATTATTTGTTTTTTAATGGTTTTCGTGGACTGCCTTATGCATGGGGTCTCATTTCTGTTTAATGCTGATTGAAAGGTTCTGTATACATTCTCCCTGCCTTTTCCCACCATTGGTGACACTGGACTCACATGAGCTTCCATTTGTTCCTCTCCCCAACCAAGAAGATGCCATTGAATTGATAAAACACTGGCTAGATGCATATCAGTGAAATGCAGTACGCGTAGATCAAATCAATATACTTTCTGTAAATGCCATTTTGTTATCAAATCTACATGATTTCCTTAGTAATAAGACTTCCTTTTGATGCTTCAGAACCTAAACTCCTTTTGTTGGGCTTCAACAGAAACTCACATTATATTATGATTCATAACAAATCACTGAATAAGAGGTTAATAGCGCCCTAAGGGATCATTTCCTTTTTTTTTTTTTTTTAGTTTTTTTTTTTAATGTTTATTTTTGAGAGAGACAGAGACAGAATGTGAGTGGGTTAGGGGCAAAGAGGGAGGGAGATACAGAAGCCGAAGCAGGCTCCAGACTCTGAGCTGTCAGCACAGAGCCCAATGCGGGGCTCGAAACTCACAAACCGTGAGATCATGACCTGAGCCCAAGTCGGACGCTCAACCGACTGAGCCACCCAGGCGCCCCAGTAATCATTTTCTTTAAGCAGAGATTCTTATTCTTTTTTTCTTAATCTTTGGTAGTCTAGTGAAGCCTGTGTACTTAAATGCATAAAATAAAATACATTAATTTACAAAGGGAATCAATTATACTGAAATGTTTTAATATAGGAATATATATGTTCATTGACGCATGAAGTCATGAGTCTAACAACTACTATAATTTCAAAGTAGTGGTGATTATAAATCATATTTTGAGATATCTGTAACATGCCTTGTGGTATGAAAATACCTATGATTTCTACTGGTGACAGTCAACGGGTCCTGCTAGTTCTTCTGTGGTTTGATGCCTATATTCACAATGGAAGGAAATGCTATATTGTAGTTAGAGGTAAATAAATAAAGGTGGAATCCCTTCCCCATCCAAGTTCATGGCCCTGTAGGCTAAGGACCCGTGGCTCAAGTGAGTCTAGATTTGTCATTTCCTCTGTCATGAGACAAAGTTAAAATACATCGCTCACCCAAATGCACTGGTTGCATGACAAATAAGGGTGTCGCAGAGCTCTGCAAAGGCGCACACTTGGCCTCTAGTCTTCAGTAAGGTTCTCGCCAGCGCCTGCTCTCAAAAGGCATCTGATCTAGATGGTGGGAAAATGACAAATCAACAAGGACTCTGGGCTCTGGCCCAGCCTGGCTGGTAATCGCTGCATGGCTGTGGCAAAGCCTCGATTCTCCTTGGTCCCCACTTTCCAGGTGAATGGATGGAACTTGTAGATCTTAGTTCCCCGAGGATCTGAATTTCTGGAAAAGAGGAAAGTACTGTGGAATAAAGTATCATCAAGTGACAAGTGGTGAGGCGCAAATTGGCCCAATAAGTCACCAACCTTATGAGCCTATTTCTTCTCAACTTGCCCCTTGGTTCTTCTTTCTTTCGTCTTATTTCTTTTTTTTTTTTTT